GTCAAAAATCAAAATTTTGGTTTTAGAAAATTTAAAACTGGGAATAAAGGTATAGTGTAACCCATCGTTCCACACTGAAATTGTCGGATTAGACGTTTGTTCAATGTTTTTTTTTTTGTAAAAAATGCACAGGAGCCGGAAACGGTAATTTCACGAATTTGGAAAGACAAAAGGTAATTAGTAGTAGCAGCCGACTTGATTTTTAGAATAATTTGCAAAAAAACGAAAAAAAAATTGGCGTATTTAACGTCAAAATTCTAAATTTTGGTTTTAGAAAATTTAAAACTGGGAATAAAGGTATAGTGTAACCCATTGTTCCACACTGAAATTGTCGGATTAGACGTTTGGTCAAGTTTTTTTTTTTGTAAAAAATGCACAGGAGCCGGAAACGGTAATTTCACGAGTTTGGAAAACAAAAAGTAATTACTAGTAGCAGCCGACTTGATTTTGAGAATAATTTGCAAAAAACGAAAAAAAAATTGGCGTATTTAACTTGTCAAAAGTCAAAATTTTGGTTTTAGAAAATTTAAAACTAGGAATAAAGGTATAGTGTAACCCATCGTTCCACACTGAAATTGTCGGATTAGACGATTGGTCAAGTTTTTTTTGCAAATAAATGTACACAGGCCGGAAATTATAATATTAACGGTTTGAGAAGACAAAAAGTAATCGATGGTATCAGCCGGCTTAAATTTAAGTATATTTTTCCAAAAAAATCAAATCAAATGGTCGTTTTTAACTTTTTAAAAATCAAAACTTAACCAATCTGGCATTGTTTCGTTAAAAAGTTGCTTGGGGTCTATGAAAAGTACCTCTTAGGTCAATAAGATATCAAAAAAATAGAAAAAAAACAACCTAACTTAATCAATGTAACATAATCCGAGTAAAACGCGTAAAAAAATTATAAAAATTTCAATTTCTTTGACAAGAATTTCGACACGACCGTTGGCATTTTCACACACCGCCAAAACTATCAAGTTGGCATTTCCCTACAAAAAATTGGAAAATCAAGACAACTAGATCGCTCGCTTGACCGTGAATCAAAAACTAGTTTTTGACGTAAATTCACTTAATGTCAAATTCACTTACGTGCGACTTCGCAGAAAATGAATTAAAAAACCGATTCGGTGGGTTTTATACTGAACTTTGAGGCAATTAAACACGAAAAAATTTATTCGCGCGGACCAACGCTCTGGATTATGTGAAAGTTTATAAAACTAGGCCTTGAAACGCAATTATATAATTTCATACACGAGATTTATCCCAATTGGGCAACATAATCCACATTTCAGACAATTCGCAACCCAAAATTATATAACTCGATCAAATTTCGCGCCAATTAAGAAATCACCATGGTTACGGGTGGTTGCCATGGCCTCAAAGATTCAAAATTACGTAGTGATTTATCACTACCAACCTAGACACACTAAAATCACAATTTGTTATCAACAATAATAACAATAATTTGTGGTGCATAGGTCAGGTTAAAATACAAAGTTGAGAGTTCAATTCGATAATTATTATTTGAATGTCATTGTTATTACCAATTTGACAAAAGTAATGTTTCCACAGCCTGCTATCGATCAAATAAATAAAAACAAATGACTGTCAATAGCCAAACCTTGAATTTTGGTGCATACCTGTATCCATGTAAAAAGCGGAAGTGTTTTTTGTCACGGCTATCTTGATCGTTCACAAGCCACAGCACACTATCTTGTTATTACATTTCCAAAGGTTGCAACAACAACAAATGACGATCGCCGCTTTACTAAAGAGCGAAAGTGACAGATAGCGTAAAAAATCCTCTGACAGATGATTGGAGGGGAGATGAATGACGTCACTGAGAGAAAGCAGTGGCGTCGACTCGATTTTTTGTCCATAATGGTACTTGTTATGGTACTTTTACTTTCGATGGGGCTTTAAACTTTCTCCCATGAGATGCTAAAAATACATAATGGTTATGGTAATGGTGTTAAAAAAACGTTGACCTCCATGTAATGAATTCGAGAATTAACAAACGATTAAATGACAATCAAGTGAGCGGAATTAATTAGTGCTATCGCAGTTGGCTCGGAAAACAAAAACACAGCGGCGTGCGCTGCCGCCGCCTCTGATGAAAAGTCAACGGAATGGAAAGGAAACCGAAAGTGGCCGTTACGAAATTCGCGTGATCTAGAAAAACAAAACAAATGAAATAAATTTGATCAAAAACGTAGATGGCATTGAATTTGTGCCACCATCAAGTGGGTCATGGCAGTGAAAAACGCCAATCGTCACGTCACGTCCATCAATAAAATAAAATATTGCGCTTTATTGCGATTTTTGCGACTTTCTTTTGCTTTCTTCGAGTCATCGACCCGAAAAGTACTTTCGTTTTTTGCCTCACTTGAGACGTGTGACTTATTTTGGTGGAAAAAATTCTCTTAAAGTGTTAGTTGGTATCGTGGTCAAGGTTGGCCACGATCGATGGTAAAAAAGCTGTTTTTGCGTAGAAAGTTGTGATCGTAGAACTGAATCTGTTTTGTAATAATTATAGTTGGCGGTGGATTACGTCGGTTTGAGGCAAAGCAGGCCGTGGCGGGTCACGTGGTTGACAGGATAAGGAAACCCGGGCTAAATACTAAATGCACAAAATTACAAATTACGACATTCAATTAATAAAAATGTTGAAAATCTTTGAATTATTGGAAACTCAAATTCTTTTTTTTTGAATTCAAAATGGTATTATTCACATACTATATATTTTTTTGAAAATTTAAACGTGGAAAAAATGCCATAGTGTGACCCATCGTTCCACACTGAAATTGTCCAATTAGTCAAACTT